TTTTAGAACAGTATCTTTGGTCGTTTCTTTCAACATAAGGTATGCGTTATAGGGTGGACATAGTCGCTGAAGGCAATATCAGGCGGAGGAATTTCGCTGGCAAGTATGATAGTCCTACATTTGGAAAATGACTATTTAAAACATCACTTATTTCTCGAGGGGAAGTATAAGCAGCATTTCCAATTTTGAGAGCGTTGACTAGTTGTCTCTTTCGTTTTTAGCCATAATACTGAGATTTATTCCTTTTCACGACTTCTTAATATCCGCTCCTTGATTTACTGCGAAATATGTATTATAATAAGATGATTTAGCCAGTTTTATCGCTTCATTCACTTGGGTTCTGACTGATTTATGGCTTGACCAGCTTTCCTCAGTTGTTAGTCTGCAGGCAACTTTTTTTAACCTGTCTCTTTCGAACATCAGCCTCACAAGTCTGGGTTATGTCGGGGAATAAGTTAGTTGCTCTTTAAGAATAAGTCAAATATTAATTGTAAAAGGAATTAGTTAAATGATTACGTGATAGATTGCATCAATTCTCAGTAAATTGAACTTAGTGCACAGTTTATCAGCTGATGTACTTTGCATGCGCTAATTGAACCAAATAAGGAAGGGATCATGTGAATTAGGCTTGATATATCGTACGATAGTTATATTACTGTAAGCTGTGCATGTGATAGATTATAGTACTGTATTGTGTAAGACAGCAAAAAACCGAAGTACACGTACACTGTAATCAGATCGATAGTAGAACCCTTGAGAGGTAGAAGAATAAACTCCGTGCTAAAATAGAACGTAGAAAGTGTGATAGATACAGTCCTCAGTTAAACCAGCGAGCGGAACAAAATTCCGCGACACCATGGGGCAGAAGAATTTTTAAGTTTCTTATGTCGGTTCGCGGTTTTCAACGAATTTTTCGTAGCTCACTTTTCACATTTGTACTCTTTATGCTGTTGATACAAAATTTTCTGAAAATTCTGAGGGAAACCATAAAAGGGCTGCCAATTAAGGCAACTAGTTCAAGCATGTGTTCCCATGCAGTTTACCGTAGACCGTTTTGAGACTATATACAAATATTACGTCTTGCTTGCAAAGCAACACAGAATTTGCATATCAGGCTCTGTACCAATTACTGTCACGAACTCTTGCTCAGGATGGATAAGGTATTCTCAGTGGCCAAGATTGGGTCTTTTAGCCATGTCTCGTTTCTTTTGTTTTTGACGATCGTTGTTCCGAAGTTTTCAATCAAATCAGTTCAAAACAGGAAAGAGGTCTCGATGGTTTTCAAATGACAGAACTACCCTACGTAATTTGCATAGCGTGACATTATAATATGATAAATTTGCGAAAGAGCAAAAACCTCCACCAGTTAAGAGCAGGAACAAGAAAGTATTGTCTTTCTTAAATTTAGAATTTTTATTTAGTTCACGTGGGAAATAAACATGCACTAATGAGGTTAATTTAAGTACATAAAATTGAGGTGTGCAATTCTTCAAAAGTAAGTAACAAGAATGATAAAGAATTGGTAAAATAGTTTATTAGCGAACTAAAGAGAAATCTGCTACCCTAAAGTAACGCATTATAGAGAGAACAAATTCAACTGTCACGCGAGCTCGTTTGGCCTCTATGCAAGGTTTTTTATAGATTCAAGCGAAATTGCATACAGATAATTGATGAAAAGGATCGATGGAAGAAACCTCTCAACATAAGCTTCGAATAGTCGGCTTGATGAGTGTTTTAATGAATTTTGTCGCAAAAAACACCAAGACGTCGTATCAAGCACACGAGGAATACAGGCGTTTTCGGAGCAGCCGTTTTGATCGAGCCGCGACATAAAGCCACGGTGCAGATGTCAAACTTGCGGAGACCTCAGAATGGAGAAAACGGAAAAACAGACTGGAACTCTGAACTCATATGAACAGCTAAGAATATAATCTTTGAGTTGAGGTTATTATATTTACTTTGCTATGTGCTTCGGAGTCGTGTTTAAAATTTTTATTATATCAACATCTTGATGGTCACCTGTACACAACAGGATGGCCTGATTATTTTGTCTTTCTTTACGATTTTCAAAAAATTGTACAAAATTTCTAACTCACTTCCCCAAACTAAACTTTACATATTCTGAAAGATCATCAACTCTAGTATTATCATTCGTAATCTTACGAAATTCTGAGCAAAGGCACATGCTAAAAATTATCGTTGTTTTTCGCCTACCGTTTTACGCAACACCGTGAGAGCCATAAGCTATTGACTTCTCTTGAATACTGGAATTAATCTAATCTTTATGAAATCGCGGTTTTTAGACTGACAAGTTATACAACAACTTGGAACTGTGATATAATATTTCAAAAGCGAGTGCGAGTGTTTCATCAGGGTTTCCAAACACGAGAAAACTGATGAAAGCACTCGGCCTGCTGCCTCGTGCTTTTGTTTTCGTGTTTGAAAACCCCGATGAAACACGAAGCACGAGTTTTTGAAATTGCTTCTCAATCGTGCATCATTAGCCAACAACAATGAAAAAATTTTGACTGATTTTGGCATCAGTGGGGTTTGACATTTTATCAAGCTTTAGGGTTTGATATTTCATCAAAGTATACTGGAAAAGCCTCTGTCCAGTGTTTCATCGGGGTTTCTAAACGCACACGTGGCCAAATTAGCGTATCGTGATTGGTTTGTAACTTGATGAATTATTAATGAGATGGAAAAAGCTTTTTCTAGTGCAGTTTTTTTGATACGCGAGTCGCGTGAATCATGACCTATTTTAAACCTGTTCGGTGTCACCAAATCGATCCCGGGACTGAAAACGAAACATTTTCGTTTTTTCGGAAGCGAACAATTTTTTAAGGAAAAAAATGCAGAGCAATTGTACACTTTCTAAAGGCTACTTGCATGCAAAAGAACAGCGAATTTTAGTTTTTTAACTTTGCCATGCAATGTTTCATTTTCAGTGCACGGATTTGCTCTTAAATCTTCTGCCCTCAAAATTAAGCTCTTATAAGGATATTTTTAAATGACTTTCCTTTGCGATGTGATAATAAGGGTTAGTTTTGAGATGTCATTCACCCCATCTGTATGTTCTGGAGGTTTGACAAAGCCGGATGAGATTGTGTTACAAAAGGCAACATTTTTCTTCTGCGCGCGCGCTATTTTCTCTGTTTTTAGTTTACTTTCTTTCTCGCAGAAAAATTAGCTTCAGAGATATTTTTCTCAGTGTAAGTCTTGGAACACGCAGGTCAATAAACCACCGCGTAAATTATGTCACTATCAACAGAATGTGCCGCACCATTGTCACGCTTGGATGACAAACAGTAAGAAGGCGGAGACAAACTTTGGACGCGTGCCAGCCGCACCCTAATCAAATATTCACATCCCTACGAGGCCGACTCTCACCTTTTATCGCTGAGCAATAATGGCGTTTAAGACAGTTGTCGTCTTTCTTTTGATCTCTTTCTTTGGTTTGCGATTAGGAGGTGCTACGTCTTGCTTTGACAAAACCGACTGTTCGGCCCTCGAGACCTGTTGCAATGATGGAATCTGCAGAGAAACTTGTTATTACTGCTCGTACAATTCCCAATGTGGTACAGGCGAGATGTGCTGCGATGGCGACTGTGCTTATTCATGTGTTTGGACGGCTGGAAGCATTGCAGGCGCTGTAATTGGTACCATAATCTTCTTCGCCATCATCATTTCCATCGTATCCTGCTGCTGCTGTGCCTGTTGCCCGTACTACCGCTATCGTACACCCGGGACTGTGATTGTGACTGGAGGCCAACCGCCGTATCAGCAAATCGTAACTACAAGCACCAACACGACACAGCAAGGATTTGTGCAATATCCACCGCCTGGAAACTACAACCAGCCACCGCCTACTTATTCACCACCCGGTCCAGCACCGTATCCTTCAGCTCAGGTACAAGGACAAGCTGCTATGATGCCGCCTCCCGCTCCGGTGAAGTACTGATGCAAGGTAACATGGAGGTAAGCATCTATCTTTTTCGATCAAGAAGCAACTCATAAATGTTAAGACATAGACTATATGCATAGTAGGGCGCAATGTTGGATAGAACGGTTGATATATTGTAGTAGAATTAGAGTAAATACATAATGTGTATTTTAAGATTCTGACGCAATCGTCGATTTCTCAACACGAGGACACATTTCACCCAGTCGCATGCAGGAATGAGTTGCCAGTAAGCGAATCCTTGTGTTGGCGCAAATATGTCTGGGATCGCTTAATGGGCGAACAATGCAAGTTTCGACAAGGAAATATATGGCGAAAGGTTGTTTTGACGTCCAAGTACGTCATATCATGGGACAGATCGTCGCTTTCTCGCCGCCATTTTCTCACACAATTTAGGTAATGTTGATTCAAAGGAATAATAAGTCTTGCTGTGAATAACCATGAATTATTTCTGAAATTCTACTGATAAACATTGCGTGAGGTTTGTTTTGAAATTGGAATCGTTTAAATGTTCTCGATATATTACAATATTGGCCACAAATCACCTTCAGATAGCAGCGTACCTGTCAACGTTTTTGATAAACAAATTACGGTGGCTTGAAATATACCTCTAAGGGTGAGAATTCATTGTTTGCGGAAATGAAAGTTGTCTACAGTTACCCAGCTGTTGCGGGTTGAAATAAGCGATGAGAAACACGAGGAAAGCGAAGGTTCGGTTAGTTTCTGAAAAATCCAAAGGTTTTTGAGCTGACACTTTTCGCTTTGAAATCCTTGGAAGATCACTGGAACTCCGGTACAAACTGGCGTGTGCATCGCTGCTTCAACGACCCATTTGTTCCTAATCATCGTCGCAAAAGAAATGGTTCAATCTTGAACCGATTTTCAACGCTGATTTATTTTCATCGATCACAACCAAGGGGCAATGCAGGTATCCAATCACTGTATCACAGTGCTGGAAATAATTTTGGTCGAACATCTTATCAATTTGACCAGACGCTAATTAGCATAAAAATTAGCATAATGAAATTCACTAGAATAATGATTTTCAATAACTGCAATTAATTTTTTATTTAATTATTAGTTATGACCGTGAACACTTCATAATATAGTTTTTCTTCATGATACTGAACGGAAACTCTCCTCTGAGTTATCTTTCGTTCGATTTCAGTATCCCAGGAAAAACAAAAGCAATGTTTAAAGTCCCTCGACCTGATGATTTTGATAAAGTACAAATTCTCGCACACGAGAAAAGGAGTTGTGTAGCAGTTTTGTGTAGCCCACCAAAAGGCGGTAATTTGGGGTCCGAATAGATTATTCATTGCTATTTTAACCTTTTTCATTTGTGAAAACAAGACGTAAATTCCAGCAATTTAAGTGATAATAACTAAACACTTGGCGACGCGCTGTCTGGCTGGTCAAAACTTTATTTCCTGATAAAATAATCATTACAAATGTTGGCGATCTGAAATTCAATTTTTAATTTCGCAAACAGTTTAAAAAAAATCCTTTCCCTGAAAATATTTTGTCTAGTACAAGTTTATCATTTTATTAAAAAAAAATTTACGAGTCGCTACCGCAGACTGTAATTAAATAAATAAATATTTTGTTTATTTATTTATTTATTCTTGACTTTCACGTGAGGTCACAAGTATATCCAATTACAGTGTCTGCCATTACTGTGCCCCTCAGCAGTAGGGAAATGTATGTAAAGTAATGCCATTTCTGTAGTGTTTTTTAATTTTCTGGTTGAAAAGCGCTTTTATAGACCTGTAAATGTCAGTTCCAGTATTGTCGAAGTATGCTTCATCACTAGAGGGTAATGTAAAGAATCGTTACATGCAGAAAATTGAAAAAATCGGCATCGATCCAGCTATTATTCCAGACGAAGAGCTTAATCCTGAGTGTTTACTGCCAGTGGAGCGGTCGGACTTGTTTAGTTTCTTGATTTTGGAAACAAGTCATTATACTTACGACCAGTTCAAGAACTACAAAAGTCTCGAAGCATACAACCAAGTGGTCTCTGGGTTTGTAGCGTCCGTGAAGGGAAGAATTGTTTCTGATAAGTATGTAGTCGTCGCCAAAGTCCGACATTCACAACGTATGAATGATCCTCTCGTCGATATCTGGCTTATTACAGGAAAAGATGGAAGAATTTTCTCCGCTCATTGCCTGGGCTGTAAGGCAGGTCTTGCTGAATCATGCTCACACGTTGCCAGTGTTTTATTTTATATCGAATGTTGTACTCGAATCAACGGAAAGTTGGCTTGTACGCAAGTAAAATGCTCATGGCTTCTTCCAACTTATGTAAGTAATGTTACCTATGCAAGGGCAAAAGAAATTGATTTTTCTTCAGCAAAAAAGTTGAAAGAAAAACTTGACAATAACATTGAATCTTCTGATGGATTCTCCAATCAAACTCGACTGACTGTTGGAGCCGCAGCGAACAAGAACACGAACCCTAGCGTTTCAGCGGAGATGTGTCGGAATTTTATAAAAAGCTGAATCGGTGTGAAACAAAGGCTTCAATATTAAGTTTAATCGACCCATATGCTGATCAGTTTATTACAAAAAGCAGAAACATCCCAGTCCTAACAGATCTTTACGAGTCAAGTAATTTAGAACTAAAAAAAACCTCGAGCTTTTACGGAAATGTTTAGAAGTTAAGATAAACATTTCAGACGAAGAAATCGACAGCATCGAAGAAGACACGCGTACTCAAGCTAAAGGTGCAGGATTTTTTAGGCATTGTGCAGGTAGAATTGGGGCCTCTGTCTGTGGTGCTGTGCTCCATGGAAATCTCGCACAACCTTCTCAAAGTCGTATTCAGTCTATCTGCTATCCGCATCTGTTTAAAATAGACAACAAGGCAAAAAACATGGATGTAAATACGAGGAACAAGCTATCAGAACTTATGAACACCACATGAAATCGCTACATACCAACTTTCAACAA